AGGCTTTATAGCCTCAACCTGCTGCTCAAGAACTTCTACCCTAGATTATAGGATAGCTAGTTGATAGTCCTTTTCCTCAAATCCTTTTTTGACCTTCCGGAATAGTAGCCGTTGAGTACTACTAGGCTGATCCAGTTGACTATATTGGGCTAGCTGATCCTCAAGGTCAACAGCCTTTCTTGGGGTCGACCATGTGACTGCAGATGTAGCTACATCCTACTGCTGGATAGGCTTGGATCCAAGGGCCCTTTCTAGGATAGGGTTGGTCTTGCTGCTGGTATTGCTGATGTTCTCAAGTAGCAGTGGGCTCATGAGGGGTCGGGCTATAGATATTGGCCACAGACCTGTCGATTTCCAGCCAGCCCATATATTCTGAGCTGTAAGAGCTAACTGATATGCCTTCCGATAGCAGGAAAGGAAATTCCTTTTGCCTACTACTATAGAATCATTCTACTGTTCCAGATATCCTAGCTCCTTTCTATAGGCTGTCTTCAAGGGTCCAAAAACTGACTGATCCAAGGGCTATAGGATATAGGATGTATGGGCAGGCAGGTAGAGTAGATATATCCTATTGATATAGCAGAGATATATGAATTCAGTTGACTTATGGCTTCCATGGCCATCTAGGATGAGTAGATGGGCTGCAGAAGGGTCTGTAGGTTGGGTCGATGGGATGAAGATTTCCCTGAGCCAGTATACAGCTGTCTCATTATCTGTCCACCCATTTTCTGTTATATGGAATCTCCAGTTGGTATAGGGTTGAAGGTCTAGAGGAAACCATTGTTGTTGAATAGATCTGCCCTTATAGATGACAAGAGGTGGCACTGCAGAGCCTGTAGCACTGATATACTCAATCAGAGTAGTCCAGGCCCTTGATCCAGGCTGTTTTTTCTGTAGATTCCGGGTCTCTGTAGATCCTAGAACTAGGCCATTAGACCCTCGACCTTCTAGGATGCCAGTCTCATCCATATTATACCGATTGGCTGGTTGGATAGCCTTGATCTGTAGGATGGTGAGATATCGAAACCAGTTCCTGATTATATCAGTTGATGCTCCATTGATACACTGGGAATCGATTGCTCTGGCTCTTTGGACCTTGATTGAAGGGTTTCGATGTAGGAAGGCCTGGAACCAGTTTTTCCCAAGGGTCTGGGGACCCCCTCGTAGGCATAGGATTCACTCAGCAAATTCCCGGATCTGTTGATAGGTTGGTGGGAGCCCTAGAGTAGCCTGGACCTGTATCCATTCTACTAAGTGGCTCTCCTGGGTTGGGGATAGCTTCTGACGGCTAGATGCAGCAGTAGCCTTTGATTAGGCACCTTGAAGACGGCCCTGTAGGGTAGACCTTGGGATACCCCAGTTCTTGGAGGCCTTTTTGATAGATTGCCCGTTTGATATAGAGTTGATAGCCTGATTGATCTCATCTTCAGTATACCCAGGTATCATTGATTAAAGTAGTAGGACTGAAAATCTGGTGAAGATTGGATAAGAATTGGTAAAGATATTGTGGGTTGAAGAGGGTAGGTTGAAGTGGCGGTGAGGCATTTTTGGGGTGCCGGTTGAGGGGGGGTGCCGGTTGAGGGGTGAGGGACGTTATGGGGCTGGTCGCGGGGAGAATATCGTGCCCTTTAACACACTCTCATATATGTGTAGTTAACGGCCCATGGAGAAAGAACGTTCTCCCCATCCGCCAAGACTTTTAAAATCCCAGCGTCAAAACCCCAGACAGTTGCTAGTAGCATCGGACGAAGCAATAAAGTGCAAAATGTACTCATAGTGTGCTTCTTTCCTTCGGCCGCAGTTCCCGTTTAAGGTTTCCCGCTTAGACTTTTTTTTTCTTGGTGGCGACTACTTTGTGTTTGTCATACAAAAGAGCAAGAAAAACCCTGCAGCCTTCCCACTCGGGCATATTACTGGACGGTTGGCGCCATCACCTAAGATCGCGTCATCGGAGGTCCCGCTCGGAAGAGGAAGTTCGATGTCCCCGCCGCCCCTTTGTAGTCTTCTAGTCTCCGCCCTTGTGCCCTTGGCGTGTCTTAGGCTATGGCGTCAGCGAGATGGCGTATTTTTTCTTGCCATCTGCCTACAGTCTAAGTACGAGAAATACTCCGTACGACGGGGTACCCTTACCATTTCTAATAACTTAGCGTCCCGGATCGGCGTGCCCTTTTTTAGTCTAAGAAGTTGTAAGCTCCACTTTCTTCCGATCGCCAGGCACAGACGGGACCAACATAACCTTACAAAACCGAGGCGCCGCGCAGTTTTCTTAGCTTCTTTCCCCCACTGTCCTAGGCTCAATCTTTTTTTTCTCCAGTCTTAAAGATATACTGGTAAACGAGGTCCTGTTTCGATTCGGAAGCTTCTCTCTTCTCAGTATAAAAGAGCTATCTTCCATTTTGGGACATGGTCGGGTTCCCTTTCGGAGGAGCCAAGGGCTCCGGGAGCGTCTTGTCGGGGCAGCCAGTGGGCAAAGATGACGATGTTCCCGAGGACCGGCCCATTGCGGTCGACGACGAGAGTGTCGGTATGGAGAACCTCCTTTCTGCCTTCCCTTAAACCTACCCCACCACCTCCCCCTCAGCCCGTCTCCGACTAAGAGAGCTGGCTAGCTAACATGACATTGCACGCGCGACAGTAGGCCACATCCAACAAGCCCGCGAGGCGAAGCGCCAGATCGGCATCCCCTCCGCGACCCTCCTGATCCTCAACCGCATCATCGGCACCGGAATCTTCGCCACGCCCGGCTCCATCCTCGCCCTCTCCGGCAGCGTCGGCCTCTCCCTGATGATCTGGGTCGTCGGCATGGTCATCGCCGCCGCCGGCATGGCCGTCTACACCGAGTTCGGCACCGCCATCCCCAAGAACGGCGGTGAGAAGAACTACCTCGAGTACGTCTTCCGCAAGCCGCGCTTCCTCGCGACGGGCTTCTACACCGGCTACGTCGTCCTCCTGGGCTGGGCGGCAAGCAACTCCGTCGCCTTCGGCGAGTACATCCTCCACGCGGCCAACGTCGAGGTCACGAGGTGGAACCAGAGGGGCATCGGCCTCGCGTGCATCACCTCCGCCTTCCTCATCCACGGCCTTGCGCTCAAGTGGGGTCTGCGCCTGCAGAACCTGCTTGGCATCATCAAGCTCATCATCATCCTCATTATCGTCGTGGCGGGGTGGGTCGCGCTGGCGGGACACGTCAAGTTGGACGTTAAGCCCGACAACTTCACGAACGCCTTCGAGGGCACCACGGGGAGCGCGTACGGCGTCGTCACGGCGCTTTACAACGTCATCTGGAGCTACATCGGCTACAGCAACGCCAACTACGCCCTCAGCGAGACGAAGAACCCCGTGCGCACCCTGAAGATCGCGGCGCCGCTGGCTCTGGGGCTGGTCTCGGTCCTCTACATGCTTGTGAACATCGCCTACTTTGTAAGTTTCGTCCGAGACGGGTCTATTCCCGATTGATATTTCGTGAGAGAGAGAGAGAGAAGAGGGAGAGGGAGAGCGAGGAAAAAGGAAAGGGAGGGGAAAAGAAGATGAGGGCTAACGCTTTTGACTTTCTAGGCCGCCGTACCAAAGGAGGAGATCCTTGAGGCCCAGCGCCTTGTCGCCGCGAGTCTGTTCCGCAACGTCCTCGGCGCCAAGGCGGAGCGGGCCCTGTCCGTCTTCGTGGCCCTGTCGGCCTTCGGTAACGTGCTCAGCGTCATCTTCTCGCAGGGGAGGCTGGTGCAGGAGCTGGGCCGCGAGGGGATCCTGCCCTTCTCGCCCTTCTTCGCCAGCAACAGGCCGTTCAACGCGCCCCTCGCGGGCCTGTTTGAGCATTGGGTCGTCTCCGTCATCATCATGCTCGCGCCCCCGCCCGGCGACGCGTACAACTTCATTCTCAAGTAGGTTTTTCTGTCGTGGGCTGGCTAGAATTTGCCCTCCCTCCCAGACATGACATTGCATTATATACTAACCCCTCCTGCTCCAGCCTCATCTCGTACCCCCTCGCCGTCGTCAACACCTTCGTCTCCATCGGCCTCCTCCACCTCTACCTTAACCGCAAGGCCTGGGCCTGGAACCCTCCCATCAGCGCCACCCTACCCGTGGTCGCCTTCTTCCTCCTCAGCAACGTCTACCTCGTCATCGCGCCCTTCGTGCCGCCATCCGACGGCCAGAACATCTACAACTCGCTACCCTACTGGATCCACTGCGTCGTCGGCTTCGCACTGATCATCGCCGGCGGCCTGTACTGGGTCGTGTGGGCCGTGATCCTGCCCAAGCTCGGAAATTACGAGCTCGTAAGGGAGACGGTGGTGGACGATATTGATGGGTGGGAGAGGCATGTGTTTAAGCGGAAGCCTTTGTAGTTCTCTTTTTGTGTGATTTAAGTTGAGACGGAGTTTTACTATCATAATTAATGTTCTGGCATATTGGCGTTGTTTGTTTTTTATTTCCCCCTCATGACTAGTTGCTGGTATTCGTTGAATACAATGGCTGCATAATTTGTTGCCTCGGCATTTGGCTAGTATAGCAAGGATGGTGCCTCACAGTCTTTCTCTTTTGTCCGAGGTTGTAATAAAGGTGATTCCTTGAACAGTGGCATATCTCACATTTTACAGACATGGATAATCACAGTTTGGCAACAGCAGAAAACTATAAGCTTCATCCTAGATTCTGAGTGACATTTTCACCAGTGATACTTATATACCCCCAACTATAGAAGTCCCAGGAGTGAGTGAGTGTGTCGTAAATTTGTAGGCTTGCATGCTATTAAAAGCATTACACTTCAGCTTGTGGAGGTTCACCAGGTCTCAGACCTAATGTATCTATGAGTAGACTATGCTTGTCACTTGCGAAGCTATTTTGCTGGCCTTGGGAGTTGATGCCACTTTGTCTCATGCTCCTGCTTCTCCTAAAGTAATTGTATTGGCTGATGATGATTGCTCATGCCTTGGTGAAACATTAACCTTAATCGTCGAACACCTTAGAGCTGGTCTAAGGCTGCAGTGGAGCATAACCAGCGGGGTAGCATGCCAGAGTGGTTAATGGGTGAGACTTGAATTAGGCTTAAACAAGCCTTCCTAGGGTATCTCATGGGTTCGCCCGCGCAGGTTCGAACCCTGCTGCTATCGAGTTTTATCTTTCATTTTTTTACCTCTGTGAACAGGGTCGCTGGTTGCTCTTTTGTAGCATCATTTTGTAGCATTTTGCTACATGTACTACTCTAAATATGTTTTTATTTCTTGCTTTAGAAGACATGAAAGAATGGACAGGTTTCTCATGTTTTATACTAGGAAATCATCGGCATCGAGGAATATAGAGACACAGTATGTGTATTTCATATTACACGGTCTGTGACATTCACGTTTCTCTAGTGTCCACTCGAAAGTATCTGCAGCTGGATTGCGTGCTTCCACGTGACCTCCTCACCTGAGTTTGCCATGGTCTCGGTCTCACCTTCTACCCACCCCCCCACTACAGGTATAACGAGCTTAGCTTAAGACGAAGCTTAAGAGAGTGAGGTCCTGCAGCTCTTGTTCCTTGCGCCGCCCTCTTTTCCCCTGGCGTCTCTCATCCCTTTCTGACGAACCCCGTACTATACCCGCTCTTTAATTCTTACTTATATCGCCATGGCAGCTGTCGCCAGGCTGTGCCGGACGGCGATCCCCGGAGCGGCTGGGCGGTCTTACGCATACGGATATCCCTCAGTGAGAGGATATGCCACCGTTGCGTCGAAGCCTCATCACCGCATTGTCATTGTTGGTGGTGGCACGGCGGGAGTCACTGTTGCGGCCCAGATTGCGAACTCGAAGCTCGAGAAGCCTGATATCGCCATTGTGGAGCCCGCGGCGACACATCACTACCAGGTAGGCTTCTTACCTTCTCCCCATTCTGCTCTTCCGTTACTAGGCCAGGCTTTGGGGCAAGTTTCGTGGATAGGATATTTCACTGACTATACAACTGCAGCCCGGATGGACCCTCGTCGGCACGGGCCTGAAGCCCCTCTCAGACATGCAGAAGCCCCTATCCTCCGTCATCCCCCACGGCGTGAAGCACTACCCGCTGAGCGTGTCCTCCTTTGACCCCTCCAACAATGTCGTGAGGACCGCCGAGGGCGTCGACGTCACCTACGACTACCTCGTCGTCGCTCCCGGTCTCGAGACCAACTTCTCCGGCATCGCCGGCCTGCCCGAGGCGCTGAGCGACGAGCAGGCCCCCGTGTCGTCCATCTACTCCGCCCAGGGCGCCGAGAAGACCTGGCGGAAGATCCAGGCCGCGAGGAAGGGGAGGGCCATCTTCACGCAGCCCGCCGGCATCATCAAGTGTGCCGGCGCGCCGCAGAAGGTGCTTTGGATGGCTCTGTCGCAGTGGGCCCGGGACGGCGTGCGCGGGGATATCGACGCGACGTTCGCGACTGGCGCGCCTTGTAAGCTTTTTCCTTAATTTCTTTCCCCCACAGCTACTACTTTCACCTGATTCTCCCTGATTATATCGTATCCCCCATGTGCCGAGCTGACGTTGATACCAAAAACTAGCTATGTTCGCCGTCGCCAAGTACGGCGAGGCGCTAGAGGCCCTCCGGAAGGAGCGCGGCGTCGAGGGGCTCTTCCAGCATAACCTCGTCGCGGTCGACTCGAAGACCAAGGTCGCCACGTTCAAGAACCTCGCCGACGGGGGCAAGGAGATGCAGCGCGAGTTTGACTTCCTGCACGTCGTCCCGCCGCAGAAGCCGTGGGACTGGGTCGCGAAGTCGCCTCTTGGTAAGTGGGATCGGTGTTCCCTTGCTGTTCTTGTTAAAATGCTTGGCTAGGCACTAAGCACTAGATGTTTTTTTTGGCTAACTTACTTCGCAGCTGATGAGGCGGGATGGGTTGCTGTTGACAAGGCCACGACCCAGCACACCAAGTGAGTCTCCTCTCCTTTTCATTTTCCCCTTACCCGCCCATCCTCTACCTCATCACCATCGCCAGTTTCATCGCGCCAAGCCACTCACGCATCGTCAGGTTCCCCAACGTCTTCTCCATCGGCGACGCCTCCAGCCTGCCCAACAGCAAGACCGCCGCCGCCATCACCGCCCAGGCCCCCGTCCTCGTCAACAACATGCTCGCCGCCATCGAGGGTAGGCCGGCGAAGGCCGAGTACAACGGGTACGCGAGCTGCCCGCTCCTGACGGGCCACGGGGAGCTTATGCTGTGCGAGTTCAAGTACGGCGGCGTTCCGGAGGAGACCTTCGCGGGCGTGCTTGGGGGACAGGAGGTTCCCAACAGGCTGTTCTACCACCTGAAGAAGGATGTTTTCGTAAGTTTTTCTTGTCCCGTGTTTCTGTTTGTGTCGCGTAGGTTGTTTTTGTGTATTGGAGCCGCTGCTGACCTTTATAGCCCTTCGTTTACTGGAACAGGTTCATTAAGGGGACGTGGTATGGCCCGAAGGGCTTCTCCGCGCCCGTGTACTCGTAGGGTTCGGTTGTAATGTGTACATAGGATTTGGTTGATAAAAATGCACCAGGAGTTCTTGCTGTTAGTGATGTTCATTTTCGCGGTACTCGACGACGTGGCCTAAGATAGCCTAGGGAGCGCCAAGGAGCCCGATCATACACCACATACAGTGGAGAAATTACAACTTGGATGCCACAGGGAACTCTGCCACTGGTGCCTCCGACTCAAACTCATCCACCATGCGTGCCACCTTTTCGCCCAGGCCCCAGCTAAACAGATACCCACCGGCCTCGACTCCGTATGCGTGGATGACCCGCTGGCCGCCCAGCACCTCCTTCTCCAACCTCACGCCGCCATCCCTCTGCGGCCGGATCCCGACGATATCCGTCACCACCTCGAAGTCCTTAGGGTCAGCCGAGGGGAACACGTCCGGGAGCCCCTCGTGGACGCGGCGGAAGATATCCGCCCGCGTGGCATCGTCCACCTCGGTGGAGGTAGACCCGTACTCCTTAATCCCCCCCAGGATGGCGGTCCCGTCGCCCCTGGGGATGTGGTACGTGTAGTCCTGCCCCCTCCTCATCCAGCACTTGGGATACGACGACTTGACGAGCACGGTCTGACCCCGCACCTCAAGGACCTTATCGTCTTGCACGTCGGTTAGATACTTCGAGCCCGTGCCCGTCGCGTTGATGAGAACGTGGTGGCCCATCCCCGCCAGCTCCTTGAGTGACGTGACGGTCCCTCTAACGAACTTCACGCCCGTCTTCTCGAGCCTCTCGCGCATCCAGGGCAGGAAATACTTGGGCGTGATGACGATGCTTCCAAACGTCGCGCCCCAGGGCGCGTCGCCGGGCAGCTCACCTTTCGTCAGCGGCCTATATCCGGGGACTCGGTTCGAGTACCACATGTCCTCGGGCCTGACGCTGTCGACGACGTCGACCAGCTGGAGGCGGCGCACGCTGGACTCGGGGTGACGCCGCGCGAGGCTCCACCAGTACGCGAGGGACTTGAGCTGGATCTCCTGGTCGGCCTCGCTGGAGTTGAGCATGCCGAGCCAGGTGGCGCCGGCCCAGGGGGAGGCCCATTCCTGGGAGTCTGGGTCTCCGGGGAGGTTCTTGGCGATGATTGTGATGTCGTAGTGTCTGGGCAGGCTGGCGGCGATGACGAGGCCGGTGATTCTAGCGATGGAAGAGTCAGAAGGCGAGATCCAGTAAGGTAGCTCGGTGCGCAGGGGACTACTTACCCGGCCCCGAGGATGGTTATCTTGGTCATGGCTTCCGAAGGTGTTTAGGTTCTGGTTGGATTAGACGTGCAGGTGTCCGATGCTGAAAACATACTTCCTCCTCCCGTCCCCCCCTTTTTCTTATTGGGAGAGTCTATTTATCCTTTTTACGACACCTCCTCCTGGTACTTTATCGACCGCCCTTTTGTCATTCTTGAGGTCGGGCTCGGCTGTTAATCCCCGGTTGACTTGGCCGGAATCGGAGTGATGCAAACTAGACCGCCAAGGCTCAAGATCCACACCGCCGGCCCACCGAGCTAGCACGGTCCTGACTGCCGACTGCGAGGAGTGCCAGCCATTCCCCAATCAGGCACCGTTGATAAGAAATTAAAATGGGCCTTTGTCCCCGTGCTCCTGTTATCTCGCCTAACGTGCACTCTTTCGGTTTATACTATCTCGCCTAAGAAGCACCGTTGCAGTTTATCATATCTCGCCTATGGTCACCCTTTGTGTCCAACCCCTCCCGTCTACCCATATCTCGCTTGAGATTTCCGGACTAGTTTCCTTATGCGCAAAGGTCATTAATGCCGGCTTATACCCAGTCACTGGATATAGAAGGAGAGCACACGAGATAATCCTGAGAAGATGAGGGGTTTCCCCGGACCACTAGGGGCCGCTAGTCGCTAGTGGCTCCCAATCTCTACGACTGGAAACCCAGACAGCTATCTCCATCAGTAATCATCTTGGACAGGGTTGGCCAGTGCTCCGACCTTGCCTTCATATAAGACCTCCCTGTTCTTTCCCAGGTCTTGGTCTACCATAGTCCTCCCCACTACATGACCCCATCTCCTAGCCCGGTGAAGAAGGCAACAAACCATGGCAAATGACAACACAGCCCTGGACATTGAGGCCAAGGGGCCCCAGCGGGAGTCGACGAGCGATGGGGACCTCAAGATCTTGGTTTCCTCCGAATATGATGAGTATCTCCGACTTCAGACCGTCTTCCAGGGCGACAGACTGAAGAAGCTAGGTCGGAAGATCGAGTACGTCCCCTGTATACCTCGATCCTCTTGGCTAGTTACTAGACGAGTTTCTGACGTGATGAGATACTAGCCTTCGAGTGCTGCCCCAGCTTATCCTCCTCTACCTACTCTGTTACATTGACCGTTCCAACGCTGGTAAGCTAACCCCGCCCTTTTTTCTGCCGTCTCTCCATGCCAGCCCCTCCATCATCGATCGGACTAACCCGCCAGTAGGAAACGTCAAGCTCTTCGGCGCACTAGATGACATGAAACTGTCCGGACAAGACTGGAACACTGCTATGGCCGTCTTCTTCGCGACCTATGCCATAGGCGGAACCCCCTCCAACCTCGGCCTCAAGCGCTTCGGCCCCAAGATCTGGCTCCCCGCCCTGACCGCCATCTGCGGGCTCCTCAACATCTTCCAAGGCTGCGCGAGCAACCTCGGCGGCCTC